CAATCTGATGAAGGCATTTTCTCAATTCGTATTCCCTCCCCCCAAATAATCTTGACTTATTTCAAGTTGCCAAAAATAAATAAATAAATAAATAAATAAAGAAAGAAAGAAAGAAAAAGTAAAAACAAATATCTAACACACATTTTTTTTCTAAAAGGCCTGGCAGCACCTATCCATAATCTCAGTATTCAGGAGTCAGAGATAGGAAATTGTGAGTTCAAGGCCAGCCTGAGACACTGTACACAATTTTTATAATAATAATAGTAGTAGTAGCAGTAGTAAAAATTCCTGTTAGTGGTAGAAAATACATTTTTGCTTAGAGAAATTAAAGAGGAAATACATTTTTTGTGGTACTAGATGCTGAACTAAGGACTTTGTGCATGCTAGGCAAGTGCTCTGCCACCCCTATTTTGTACATTTAATGCTGAGACAGAAACTAAGGAAATTGCCCCAGCTGTCCCGGAGATAGTGATTAATTCCCTTTGTGCAGCTGCCTGAGTATCTGGGATTAAAGGATTGCAACACCATACCCAACTAGAGAAAGGAAATATTTCTATGACATCCATATGATAAAACAAGATTTTATCCTCATGTAAAGTTACTAAAATGGATAGGACAGAACTACAAGATTGAGCAAATTTAAGGAGGACCATAAAGGATGCTAATTAGAGGGCCCCAAGAAGCTGCTTTGTGTCTCAGAGTGTTCTAGTATCTACAGAAGACCACCAGATGCTGCTGTGGATTTCGATACCAACCTTTCTTGACTGGTAGAAATTCTCTTTACTGTTTCCAGCAACAAAAGGGTGGTAAAGAGGATTCTGAAAAAAAAAAAAAAAAAAAAAAAAAAAAAAAAAAAAAACGGGACAGCAAACGGTCTTGCTGAAAGTCACCCTGTAGTCCCCTTCAGGGAATTTAGTAGGAAGAAGCCACTTCAAGAATGACTTCTTAAGTTCATCATACCATATAAAGGGGACACAAAATTCAAAAGACATTCTCTTTCTCTCTCTCTCTCTCTCTCCCTCTCTCTCTCTCTCTCTCTCTCTCTCTCTCTCTCTCTCTCTCTGTGTGTTGTGTGTGTGTGTGTGTGTGTGTGTGTGTGTGTGTGTGTGTTAAAGTAGAAAGGGGATCATGAGAGGGAAGGAAAGATCTCAAGGAAGGGAGAAAGAGGAGTCATAAGTTCAACTTTGCTCTTAGCTTCTTAGACTCTATAAAAAGGGCAGCATATATTTGGATATGCTAATAAATACATGATTTAAAAGCTTAAGAGAGACTCTGGGGAGAAGGAAGGTAACCATCTGGAGGAAAAAGTGGGTCCCAGGGTGGGGACAGTGTGTCAAGAAAGCAAATGAGCACAAACTATATGTATGAAAATGCCAGAAGGAAACCCATTACTTTGCATGCCAAATTTTTTAAAGACTCAAGAGAATCTAATAATATCAAGCCCTATAAACAGGAACTCATATGAAAACAAGAGTAAAACAATAAGTAGTGCCAAGCAGCCTATTGGTCTGTTCAGTCTTCTGCTTCTGTTCTTTGTAGTTAGAGCCTAAAATCACATTTGTATCAGATTGTATCAGAAGACACTGAAATAAATTGCCCCTTTGCTTTATTCTCTCTGTTGGTCTGTTTGCCTGTGTTGCAACACAGTCAGAAGAATGATATGTGGAGAACAATGGAGAACTTGGAGAACTATGACACAGGTTCCAGGAAAAAGAGTCAGAAGGTCTTTTTCCTCAGATACCTTTTGTTCCCTGTGTTGTTCTTAGATGTGATTTTTGTGCTTCCCTGTGACAAATATATGCATTCAATTTATAAGACATGTCCGTTCTTGTTGGTTGTCAGAACATGGCCATAGAACCCAATCTGGTTCTTGTACCCTGAGTCTGAATTGGGCCTTCTGCCTTGCTTTAGTGCTTCCCCAGATATAATTTCTAGTACATGCCAGGCAATTGGTCTGTCTTTAGAAAGTTGAGGGAAAGGGCTGCTCTGTTAATATTTAGTAGGTGTTTACTGGTGTTCATTAGCATGTTTTTTTCTGATCATGGTTTTCTGAACTCAAGCAGCCCTCCTTGGATCACTGCTTTCTTTGATATATTTGTGTATAAAAGTACACTGAAACTGAGGTAAGGTTGTCTACAGCACTAGACTGTAGTCTGCCCCATTCTTTCGGAGAAGATCTGCACAGGTTGATAAAAGTTGACAGCCTAACTATATGGTGGATTGAATTCCCCAGGACATTAAGTATACATTTTCTTGGTTGTTTAGAATAGGAATTTGATGTACTTTAAACTACTGTGCAAAAACAATTATAAAAGAAACTCAGGCTATGGAATCAGTTGTGGTATTCAGATTTATCTCACTTTAGCAGCAGAATATTACTCTATGGAGGACAACACAGAGTCTATCTACTCAGAAGTAGTCTAGGAAGATTAATCTCCATGCCCTTAATCTCTCAAGAATGAGGAGGGGGGCCTGGAGAGGTGGGCTAGTAGTTAAGAGAGCTTACTCCACAATCATAAGGACTAGAGTTCAGATCCTAGTACCCATATAACAAACTGAACATCCCACATATGCTAGTAGTTAACATCAGATATGAGTGTGGGAAAGATAGGAAGGTTGCTGGGACTTGCTGACTTCCAGCCATGCCAAGAAGACAGGAGCCCTAGATTTAAGGAGAGATCCTGCCTCAGAGGAATAGTCTAAGAACACAGAGGAAGATACCTGATGCCTTCTTCTGGCCTTTGAGAGTGTACATACCTGCACACCTTACATACAGACACACATAGAAAAAAACAGGATAGGATAGGATAGGTGATAGATAGGTAGATAGATAGATACACTTACATACATGGCTTAATGAATAGATAAATAGACGATCGATAGAAGGAAAGAAAGAAAGAAACTTCACAGCTTCTGTGTTTCCTTCTGATCTCTCCCAGCCATTTTGTTTGTCCACCTCTTTCTCCACAGACTAGATGTTGAAGTCCTGACTCCTCTTCCTCCAGTAGGCGATAGAAATCTGAGTCCCATTTCCACAAACTACAAAGTACACAATAGTACTCAAATCTTCCCCTGCCTTTCTGTCTTAGAGCTAGCCATAATGACATTTGTAAGCCAGGTGGTGGTGGTGCACACCTTTAATCCTAGCACTCAAGAGGAAGAGGCAGGTGAATCTCTGAGTTAGAGGCCAGTCTGGTCTACAGAGTGAGTTCCAGGACAATCAGGGCAACACGGAGAAACCCTGTCTTGGATGAAAAAAAAAAAAAAAAAAAAAAAAAAAAAAAAAAAAAAAAAAGACTTTTGTTGACTTGCCTTGTCTGAGAGTAGACCCTAAGATCTATATTTCACAAATAGGTTTTCTGGTTTTTCCCACTCAGTTTATTATCTAATTGGATAATATCTAATTTTTTTTGCTCAAACACATTTAGACATTGATGTCCACGTTTTAGTTGCACTTATACCATGAAGTCTCCATGAAAAGTCTATCACTTCCCCCATCTGATTTTATTTTATTTCTCATTGTAGTGTGTGTGTGTGTGTGTGTGTGTGTGTGTGTGTGTGTGTGTGTGTGTGCAAACACATTTCCTGGCACACATGTGGAGGTGAGAGAACTTTCAACACTCATCTCTTCCACCATGTAGATCAAACTCGGGTCACCAGGCTAGGCAGCAAACACCTTACCTGCCGAGCTATACAGTACCTGTCCCTTCCGTTCATTTTAATCTAGTCTTGCTTGTAGTGACTTCTAGTCTTCATTCATTTCCTCAAAGCACAGCCCTCTGCCTGGAATATTCTCTGATTCCTTTGTATATATTTAGCTCCCTTACCTCCCAACCCCAAGCCCATCAATCATCAAGAAAGACTTCCCAGAGAAGATGAAATCCATGACAGGTATGGCACTCTCACAACACCATGACTTTTCCTTAGTGTGATATATCAAAAGTCATCATTTCAGGGTTTGTTTTGTTTGAGACAGCGTTTCTCTGTGTAGCTTTGGAGCCTGTCCTGGAACTTGCTTTGTAGACAAGGCTGGCCTTGAACTAAAAGAGATTGGCCTGCCTCTACCTACTGAGTTCTGGGATTAAAGGCATGCACCATCACCACCTGGCTTTCGTTTTTAACTATGATGTTTACTAATTTCTCCATTCTCTAGAAAACTGTCAGCCATATGTATGCATGTGTTTGCATGATACCTCCCCAACCTGACTCACAAAAGAATTTTGATAAACATTGTTTGAAAGAATTGATGACCATTTCCCCTAATAGCCCACAGAGGTGATTTCCACAAAACCTTCTCAGGAACCTTCACTTTAAACCCAATGCCATTCCTCAGGTATCTTCACAACAGTTGCATGCTTATTTCAATAACTAAAACTTAACAAAATGTTACATTTGACTTTCTAGAATTCAAGGGTTTAACTGAGAGTACCCCAAATGCTGGCTAGGGAGTGGTCTACAGAACCATTTCTATTGTGTTTGATAGTCCCCAACAGAAACAGAAGGCAGGTGGCATGTTGTTCTGACAAACCTTGTGAAGCATTCAACATTTTATTGACAGGTGTTTTGAGACTGATTGCATTCTGTTGTTTGACTTGAGAACAGGAATCTCAAAACAGCATCCAAAGCTGTCCAAGAACCCCCCCCCCCCGTCATCCTACCCTCTTTGGATCCATGAATTCAATTTACCTCCTAGGCCAGTACACCCTCAGCGCGAGACCGTGAGTTCTCTAAGCCCTGAAACCCTTGTTGTTCAGTATCTCTCTTGGCTGTGACACTTATTGAGCTCCTGAGCAAACCACAGAGTATTAATATGACAGTAGAAGTAAGAGTCTGGAGCCATGAAGATCAGATGCGGCTGACTGAAAGTAAGAGAAGTCCCCAGAGAAAGACGGGTAAGAGTGGACAGTGGAGAGTACTGCATTACAGAGAGCAGGCACTGGAAGACAGAGTAGCAAGAGCAAGCAAGGTGTGGGCACCGGACAGGTTCTTTGTGCAAGTACCTCAGCTGCCTAGCGGCTGTTCCTCAGGTAGACACTGCTGTATCTTCAGAGATAATTGCAGTGTCATCAACTCTGCCACCAAGAACTTGCAGTTCTTCTACCTAGAAAAAATGTAAACCCTTAAACTTGATGTGGTAATATGCACCGGGAATCCCAGAACTGGGAAAATGGAGGCAGGAAGATCAGGAGTTCAAGACACTTGACTGCTTAGGGGGTTTGAGGCCAGCTTAGGCTACAAGACAACACATCTCAATAAACAACTGCCTATTATATAGATTGAGATAGATAGACATAGATACCCTTATTTGAATAGAATAAACTAGAAATCGTACCTTTACTCCCTTCTGAGTTGAAAAGTGTCACAGCATCAGAGCAGCTGCTCAAGGAATATCAGAAGTCCAGGCCCAGATTTTCTTTTAAATGATGTCTTCAACCAGCAGGGATGCAGCCTGGAAATTTTAATTTGCTTGATTAGAAATTTGCTTTGATTTTCTTGTGGCCGGGAAGCCTTTCCAAAAGCAATTACCGGAGTACAGGAGGGAAGTATTCAGTTCCTTTGGAGACACAGAGGGTGAGCAGGCTGTTGTGGCTATTCATCTTTGTATGTCTGCCAACTACACTGCTCCTCTCCAAGCTCCACCAATTAGACACAAACAAGGGGGTTAGGAACTTTAGATAAACTGAATTATCTGCCAGGTCAGAGCTAGGGTGTGTGTCTGCATGCATGAGTGCATGAGTGTGTGTGTGTGTGTGTGTGTGTGTGTGTGTGTGTGTGTGTGTGTGTGTGTGTGTGTGTTTTACAGATACGCAAATGTGGTCTAACAGAAGAAAAGCCTAAGAATAACTTTATCTACCCCCTGACTAGTATACTTTTCCGAAGTAAGTCAGTCTACCATAAACAATTTGGTTGTATCAGGAAAAACATTGATGCCTGCTTTATACTGAACAAGGATCAGCATGTCTGGGGCATAGAATTTAGTTCTAGGCTTAATGCCTTCTGATCCCCTTGATGCTTGATTAATATATGTCTGTCTTGCTAGTCCCAAGGGCTTAGAGTCCAAGCCTAGATCTCACCAGTCTACTTCCCCCTTTTGAGAAATTCCCCTATTTCAGTTCTTGAAAAGGTGGTTTTCTATAGTTATCTCAACAAGTATAACAGTGTCAAGAAATATCTAGTACCCTGCCTCCTATTCTGACTTTTAAAATTTCACTCTCATTGAAATCAACTAGCCAAGCAATGGTGGCTTGTGTCTGTAATTCTAGTACTTTGGAGGCTGTTGTAGGAGAATTACCATGACTTGAAGCCAACCTGGGCTACACTGAGTTCTAGGCCATCCTGGGCTATAGAGTAAAACCTTGTCTCAATAAACAAATTAGTTAATAAGTTAAAACCAAAACAGAACAATGGCCAGGGAGATGGCTCATTCAGCAAAAGCATTTGCTCTGCAAGCCTGGCAAACTGAGTTCAAATCCCACGACTTACATGAAAAGCTTCATGCTATAGTTCATCACTCATGTGAGATAGAAGGTAGAGATAGGGAAGTGTCCTTGGATCTCTTGGGCCACCCACCATGCTCTGGAGCATTAGGTGAAGCAACAGAAACAAAGAGGGATCCTGTCTTGACAAGGTGGATGGGGAGAACCAATTCTCCAAAGTTGCACTCTGACCTTCACATGTGCTCCACAGCACAGCATTCCCCATACCCACAGTGCACCACGCCTGTCATTCTAGCACACAGTAGGCTAATGCAAGAGGATAACCAGGTAGCTTGACTACAAAGTGAGATCCTGTCTTGGGACAACAGCAACAAAGAAATCATTAATACTCCATTCCTAAGTTTTCTTTCTCCTGACTCCTGGGAACCTCCAAACTTTCATTTAAAAAACAAAAAGGCTAATATTGAATTCTCCAGATATTTTATTTATGTGCATCTTGACTCTCTAATGACATTATACGTTTCTGATTGGACTGCAAACTTGTAGTTAGATTATGAGTCTTGCTTTCTAATTAGATTGGCCCTATAATTAGGTTATTGGCCCTGTAAATACAGCTTTGCTCCTGCGTTTACCACGGTGCTTAAAATGGCATATAGGAAATAACCTGATAGCAAGCTTCTGGCAAAAATAAAAAGGGAGTTTTAACTGCATCTCTAGCTACAGAAATGCCCATCCGGATGAAAGACAGAAGGCAATTTAACCTTAGAATTCTTATGGGCACTGCCTGGCCCCTAATGTTTCCATTTCTTCTCTCAGTCAAGGTCTTTAAAATTCTTGCTTCTGCTTTTCTATTCAGTGTCATGTGACTATTTTTATGTCCATTTTAGTTTTTTGAGTCAAAGTCTCACTCTTGTAGACGAAGGCAACCTCAAACTCATGAAACTGCTTCAGTTTCAGATTTTCCAGTGCTGAGATATCAGCTATAAGCCATCACATGACATTTTATCTTTTTCCCTTTTTTTTATTAGAAAGAAAATTATTTTACGTATCAATCCCAGGTCCCTCTCCCTCTCCTCCTCCCCTGCCCCCCTCCAATTAACGCCCTACCCATCCCATACCCTTTCTGCTCCTCAGGGAGGGTGAGGCCTTCCATGGGGGGGGGGTCTTCGAAGTCTGTCAGATTCATCAGGATAGGGCCTAGGCCAACCCCCTTGTGTCTAGACTCAGGGAGTATCCCTCCATGTGGGATGGGCTCCCAAAGTCCATTCCTATGCTAGGGATAAGTACTGATCCACTACAAGAGGCCCCATAGATTTCCAAGGTCTCCTCACTCATCCCCACATTCAAGGGGTCTGGATCAGTCCCATGCTGGTTTCCCAGCTATCAGTCTGGGGCCCAAGAGCTGTCCCTTGTTCAGGTCAGCTGTTTCTGTGGGTTTCACCAGCATTGTCTGGACCCCTTTGCTCATCAGTCCTCCTTCTCTGCATCTGGATGTCAGTTCAGTTCAGTGTTTAACTGTGGGTGTCTGCTTCTACTTCCACCAGCTGCTGGATGAAGACTGTTGGATGGCATGTAAGTTAGTCATAAATCTCATTATCAGGGGAGTACATTTAAGGTAGCCTCTCCTCTGTTGCTTAGATTATTAGTTGGTGTCATCTTTGTAACTCTCCAGACATTTTCCTAGTGTCTGAATTCTCTTTGAACTTATAATGTCTCCCTCTATTATATTATCTCTTATCTTGCTCTCTTCTGTTCTTTCCCCCAACTCAACCTCCCTGTCCCATCATGTCTTCCTCACCCCTCCTCTTCTCCCCTTCACATTCTCCTAGTTCCCGCTCCCCTCCCCCCATACTCCCTATTTGCTCAGGAGATCTTGTCCTATTTCCCTTCTCCAGGGGACCATGTATGTCTCTCTTAGGGTCCTCCTTGTTTACCAGCCTCTCTGGCAGTTGGGCTGCAGGCTGGCAATCCTTTACTCTATGTCTAAAATCCACATATGAGTGAGTACATACAATTCTTGTCTTTTTGTGACTGGGTTACCTCACTCAGAATGGTTTCTTATGACATTTTAAAAACAACCACTTAAATTCCTTTTAGAAAGGCACTCTAATCGCGTGTGCGTGCTTTTCTTCTTTTTTGGTTTTGTTTTTGTTTTTATAGAGCTGCACATCCATGCAGCTATCTCCCACATGGAAAGATGGAGCAGTGGGGTTGGAGAAATGGCTCAGCAGTTTAGAGTTCTTCCCCCTCCGGCAAAGCACCTGAGTTTGATTTCCAGCCTCCCCCCTACTTCCCCCGTGTTAGGTGACTCATAACTCCAGCTGCATTGAGTCCATTGTGCTCTTCTGACCGACACTGTCACTTGCCCATGTGTGGCTAATGCACACAGAGACATGTATACCCATATACATGCAAATTTTAAAAATAAATCTTTTTTCTTTAGGTTACAGAGAACTTCTAGGAGTCAGTACACCCCTCCTGGTCAGCTCTCATCCAGAGATTGATCACTACAGGCAGTGATGCCTGCTCTACACAACTCTCATCACTCAGTTGCATACTCTCCTGTTTGGCCTTCTCTCCTAGCATCATGACAATGGTGTTCAACAAAACTGTTATGCAGAGCAGTGATTTATTCTCTTCATTGTTGGATAGCATTATGTTTTATAAATAAAAACATTTTGTTTATCTACTCATCTACTGTTAGATATTTGGGGCTATTCCTTGCTTTTGACTACTATTGTTGGATAATACCCTCTTTATACATAATGTTGGGTGGGCAGAAGTACCCATATACATTGGAATATGCCCAAGAGTAGAATCCCTGACCAAACAGCAGTTGTACCGTAAGCTTTCATAGGTGTTTTCAACCCATTTTCCACACCTAGCAACAAGTGAAAGAGATTCCTGCTGCAGTACCCCTGGCTTTGGGTACCTACCATTTGAGTTACCTGAATGTTAAGGAACAGCTGACTCCATTTTTCCTTTACTCAAATTTGATTTATTTCTCTATTGTTCCCTATGGTGTTTTCTTTAATCATGCCCCAAACTGAAGGTTAAACTATAGGTCAGCTTGGTTTTAGACTTATTCTTCCTCTATTATCTTGTGATGTGTGCATCATAAATTGTTCCCAGTATGGCTGACCATAAACCCACCACATGTGCTTTTCTCATAATCTTAAAAAATAACTCACAGCGAGACCACTTTCTTTGAGATGTAGGACTCTCAGCTACTTCTCCAGCACTGTGTCTGCCTGCCTGATGGCAATGGACTAACCCTCTGAAAATACAATTAGGATCACACTTGCCTGAATACCCCTGTTAGAGACTTAATGCCGCTCTTTGGGATCTCCTGGCCTGGGGAATGCTGGCAGGTCAACTTGCCCCCAGCAGTCCAAGGAATCCAGAGTCTGCTGACATTGTAGTGCTAGTCCCACCTCCACCCACCAGGAGAGGGAGTGTCTCAGACCCACCTGCATGCATCATAAAACCCATCAGAGTGTGGGACCTGCTTGCACCCACCAGAAGGGAACCTTGGACCCCTACCCACCAGGAGAGGAAGAGACCCCACCTGCACCCAGAAGAAGGGATGGGAAGTTGACAATATAAAAACACACTCAACAACAGAAAAACCAATATGATGTCACCAGAGTCCAGGAACACTACACCAGCAAGACCTGAACATCCCAACGCAGATGAAGCAGAAGAGAATGACCTTAAAAACAACTTCATGAAAATGATAGCGGCCCTCAAAGAGGATATGAGAAAATCCCTTAAGGAAATGGAAGAAAAACAAACCAAAAATGCAAGACATCAGTAAATCACTTAAAGAAAGCAAGGAAAGCCAAGAAAAAACAATCAAACAGATGAAGAAAACAATCTAAACAGTTCAAGACCTGAAAACTGAAATAGAGACATTAAAGAAAACACAAACTGAGGGAATGCTGGAAATAGAAAAGCTGGGTAAATGATCAGGAACTACAGATGCAAACATAACCAACAGAATACAAAAGAT